CCAATTGGGGCCAAGCCCCCATCTGGCCACAACCACCCCTGCACTCCCCCTTTCCCAGATCCTAGATCTGAGCCTATCAAACACTGGAACCTCATGCCCTCAGCCCCTCACATACCCCAACTCAAATTCCTGCACCCTCACATCCGCAAGCCTGTGCTTAGTATCCCAACACTGCCCAGCCTGGAGTCCCCTCCCCGAGCCAGTATCCCCTCCTCCACTTCCTCCTACATCCAGATTTCCTCCCAGAGCTTTGCACCTCTCACCCCTTCCCACACCCAAATCCCTCATTCCCACCCCAGAGACTACACATCCTGTCTCAACACAGCAAGGGTCCAGCTAGACTGCAGGAGTTTTTCAGGATTCTGGAGATATCCCAGAAAAACTCTTCTGCATCCAGGGTTGTGTTTGTTCTTCCGCTTTTTTAGTGGAAGAGAAAACAGGCTCTTTTGGTCACCCCTATATTCCTCTTTCCACAAGGAATAAGGTGGCTTCCAAAAGAAGGGTTTTTTTTCTGACATTTGGTCCAGTGTAGACAGGCCAAATGTTGGAAAAACCTCTTCCTACAGAAGAATAAAAAAAAATAATCAGCAGTATAAGGATTGGGGATAGCAAGTGATGGAGAGGAGGAGAATAGAGAGGGTGGGGCTTCAAGGAAGGGGCGGGGCTTCAAGGAAGGAGCAGGGCGGTAGATCTTGGCTTGGTCTGTTATTTAAAAAGTGATCTTGGGTGTAAAAGGTTGGAGACCACTGCTCTAGAGGATGTAAAGGATATTCTCACTCCATAGCCATTAAAAACGGTTCCAGAGGTGATTCCAGCAATTTTAGGCCAGTAAGCCTAACTTCAGTACTAGGCAGATGAGTTGAAACCAGTGTTCCCGCTAAGATTTTTTCCATCCATGAGAGGAATGAGTTTTGTCATATTAGTGAGGTCATGTGTGCCACCCTGGCACACAAGTTATTAACAAATATATACTGTCATAAAAGAAAGAATATTAGTTGGCTTTAATTATAATTAAGTCCAAACTCCTGGCCCCTTTGAAGTTAATGGGATTTTTGCCATTCTGTAGGACCAGGATTTTACTCTGTGTGTAGCACAGAAGACTTTAAAGACAGAATAAAATTGATAATTTTTCTCGCTAAAGGTTAGAAATTGTTACAGCCTTTTAACAGTTGCCTTTTACGTTATCTGACATTTCTTGTCTCCAAACATGAGTAAGTGCAATTCAACAAATCTAAAACTTGTGGTTCTCTGGCACAGTTCCATCCATTACTATCATGAGCAAATAGTCTTTCCGGACAGACGCACTGAAAAGTAAGAGACATGAGTATAAGCAGAGTGGCAATAAGGATTTTACTGCTGCCCCACACACTGTTGCTGAGAAGTTATTTGAGTAGGTAGTGCAATGTATATAAGCAGCTGCAGTTACATATTAATGGGTCTCTGAAGTGAGTCTATGAATTGGCACATGGAGTTTTGCTTCAGCTGACAGCCCTAAGGATAAACTTTTTTGGGAGGCTGGATAGCCCCCAAGGTACTTAATTACCACAAATGCACATTTTTCAAACCTGGTTTTTTTTAGAAGTTTTTAAATTATCTGGCCCCAAGTATTTAAATGAACCCTTGACTTCTTACACTAAACCATGATCTTAGGACCTGCATCATATTGTCCATCACCCAAGGCTTAAATCTGCTGTGCTCCATGCATTTGAAACCATGTCCCAAGTTTACCTTAAATATTTCCTTACTCAACTAGTAGGAGTTCTGCATTGGAGAGATGGACTAGCATGGATTCTAAAAGCAACTTGAAAAGTATAGAGGGTATTATTTAGAAGTGTATAGTGTATCAATACACAGGATTACAGTGTCTTACAGCAGAGGTGAGAACAGTATGGCTGAGTTAAATTGGACTTTGTGTTCTTTTTACAATGAACAGTGTATCCACAATACACAAGTTTCTGAGACATACACTCCCCCAGCTCCCCAAACAGGTCCTAGGGCAAATTCAGGAAAGAAAAGACTTGTTATTTAGAAGTGTATAGTGTATCAATACACAGGATTACAGTGTCTTACAGCAGAGGTGAGAACAGTATGGCTGAGTTAAATTGGACTTTGTGTTCTTTTTACAATGAACAGTGTATCCACAATACACAAGTTTCTGAGACATACACTCCCCCAGCTCCCCAAACAGGTCCTAGGGCAAATTCAGGAAAGAAAAGACTTG